AATTTTTTTTATACATAAGAATTAACTTTGCGCAATTACAACAGTACCGTTTTGTCCAATGGTTCCAGATTGCGATACCGTAGAAGGATTTGATGTTTCATTCGTGCTAACGGGAGATGATGAGTGATTGTTCGCACTTGTTGCGGCTAATGCTTTGTTTCGTAATTCGAATACTTGCTGTATCGCCTTACGAAAACAAAGAAAATTATAGTCTATTACACCTATAAATTAGAAAGACAAAATTAGTGACAGGATATAATTTTTATATCATACGATTATGTAAATTATAACGGAATCCTGTTAATATATTGTAAAATGTTTATCATTAAGCATATTAAAATAATTGTTTCACCTTGTCTATCAAAATTATCCTCTCGTAAAATACAGACCAATGCCAAAAATTTGTTCACTTCACGCAAGTACAAAATTGTACCATTATTTAATTTGATTAAACTGGAACTTTGGTTGTCAAACGCAGCAGCTTCCAAATCCTCTCTCAATCTGAAATAGATATAAATACAAATAATACAATAGACATGTGTATATATATATATGCAATTAAGATATAATTATTTACCCATATATGCAAGAAACATCAATAACGACATCAATCATATCACAACATAATTCGTAACTTTGCATATCAACAGGTGAGCTATCTGTTGCGATATAAATCTTTGAGACAACATCAAATAGGAATGCTTTTTCAATAGCCGAGTTCTGTAATGTAATTAAATTTTAAAAACAAACTTAGTATATTCTAGAGTTTATCATACAAAAAAAAATATCAAGTTTTTTTCTACACTTCTACAATCTTTTTTGGATGAAAAAATGTTCTCTTACCGATATAAGTATATTGAGTAAATTTTCTAAAGTAGGCAACTGTGGTATTAACTTTTGAACAACTTTGCTGAATGCTTCAAATATACTATGATCATATATTGAGGTCAAATGAAAACTCAAATGTATTTGATCACATCCTAAAAACAAAAATAACAATTGTGGATATTGTATAACATTCATTTTTTTAGAATCTTATCTTAAAATCTCTTATTTACCAGAGTCTGCTAAGTCATCATTAGCTCTCGTATGTATGTCTCTTTGTGTTTCCATTTTACAGTCATCCGACAATCCGTCCACTTTATGGATAAAAACTTCAAATTTAATTGCTTGATTAACCTTGTATGCCTTTGTAACAGTCAAGTGAAGTTTATTAAGTGCCTCCATGTAATCATCCTGTGCATCTATCACGAATACTAGTGCTCCACAACCACCAAAAATCATATCACTGTCAAAAGTAGGATCAAAGAAATCAATTTGGCCAGGAAAGTCCCATATTTGAAATTGTACAAAGCTTGAGTTACTTATGTCATCTTTAATTATTTTATTTGTACTTTCTAAAAATAATGTCTCATTTGGTGACATCTTATGGAAGACCACCTTTTGTATTGATGACTTGCCACTACTAAAAAACAAAAAAAATATCAAGCAATATAAATACTTGTCTGATAAAAGTTTATGAAATATTGATTATTCCAAAAAATTGTAATTTTACCGTCTAAGACCCATCAAAAGTATTCTAGGTTTTTGTTCTCCGGCTAATGGATCCATAGATCCTTCAGTTTCTCCATCGAATGGTGCATATCCAAAATCTTTAGGAAAAGAACCACTTTGGTAATGATCATCATAACCACTTTGATAATGATCATCATCATCCTGAAACAATATTGTAAAAACGTATTATATAAAAATATGAATTAATTTTTTAACATATTCTATAAATTCGAAATATAACATTGTTGTTAATTTAAATATTAATGCTACAATTTGTTTTACTTTCAAACATATGTGCATTCAAATTAAGTAATATTAAAAAATATTTGCTAGAAATATCAGTGATATTTTATATCTTTTTGAATTAGTAAAACCGTTTGTTATCGCCATTTTTCCAACAGAAATCTTAATAAAAAATGTTCAATTGATATCATCCACTTACCATGTTTAAGGTTAAATAATTTTTGTGCCGAGAGAGAGAGAGAGATTCTGACTGTTTTCTTATCAAATAATAAACTTGAAAAATGTTTCACGGTTTCACAATATATCTATTTAATTACTATACACGACAGAAAATTACATAGGGACTACAAATGCGTTTAATACAATATCTTTGTTTATGCTGGCAAAGGCGTGACGATACAGTGCTCGTTTGATATCAGCTAGTATCTCAGTGTTCTGATTAGTTCCCCATCAAAGCACAGACTAAAACGTTAATCTTGTCACTTGAAATTCTACACTAATCACTTATAAACAGTTTTTCGGTCTTCTAAAGAACTATCCACACCAATTTGTACAGCATTTGTATAGCTGCATAAAATACAGACGAATCATAAGTCTAAATATTGCAGAGTAACTTGATCGTTTTACCGACCGTTGTTCACTATATAGATGTAATAATTTTTCGATACTGCCGGTAAAACGATATTGATGTTGATTCATATTTATAAATGTTATGTTTAAAACTGGCAATAACCAATTAAAAATTGGAACTTTATTTTTCTACAGAGTAGTAATTGTATATATAATAATTATTCTTATATATGTAATCGCTCTATGCAAAAAAAGTATTTATAATAATTTATATATCTTAATCATTGTAAGTAGATCATTGTACAATTATATCACGTGTAGATTTGTAAACGATATAATTTGTCTTTTGAAAGTACAATTAAATATTTATTTGTCGCCACGACACCCATAATGGGAGAGTTTTCACAATTTAAATCCACGATCCTCTGTTTGGCAGTTCTTACTCCAACATCAGCTCTGTCATATAAAAATACATGCCTAGTGTGTTCTACTACAGCTACATATGAACCATCTATAAGATATAGAAATATAATTATATTAATATTCTTTTAATAATCTCAGAAAAAATGTTAAATTATTATTTAATATCTTACCAGTCGGAGAAACACAATACTTTTTATTGGTTTTACTGGCTTCAACATAGCCAAATCCAGGAAAACTGTACATATGTTTTATACTCCACTGAATATCATCTTGTGCATCATCTATTATCCAAACACAAGCATCGTGATCATGCCTTAGGCATACTGTTTGTCCATGCTTTCTTTTGTATGTGAACAACATATGATTGTTGCTTCCTAGTCTAGCTACATGTGTGGTTGTTTGCGTAAAAAGATTAATTCTTTGTAGAAAATTATCCTTTCCCTCCATATCACACTCTTCTAATTGTTCAGCATTAAATCCCACGCAAGGTTGTCCTTCTCCAGTACTATTATTTTGCTGATCTGTACACAAGTGTGCCAGCCTATAAATAGTGATATTACAAATATTGTTAAAACCAAATTAAATATTATACATATATATATCACATTATTTTATTTTTTTCTATTGTTTCTCTTTCATTTTATTTATTATTCTATTATTTTAAAAAATGTAAAAATTAAAAATATACAAATTATATAAAAAATACCTTGCATGAATTTCTGCAGCTAAATCTTCATTGGGTAAGCATTCACCTCCTGTGTCACCTTTGATTAATTCACTCCACATTAATCCATTTTCATACTTACTTAGATCAATTTGCAACGTATCTTGTTTGTGTCTCCAAGTTGCTGTATTCTCCTCTAATCTATGTTGACATTCTCCTTGTATTAATATTTCATTGTCTATTACAACAGATAATTCTAATGGTTTGATGTTTATTTTAGGTTCTTTAGTGTTGTGTTGTTTTGGTATCTTTACCCAAACAGTAATTGAATCTTCATTCTGTGACCAGTAATATTTTGGAATCTTAATTTGCGAATCAGTACTTGATTGCTCTATTTTACTTTCAGATTCTTGCACATTTTTGTTTTCAAAATTAATAGTGTCTTGACAAATAGAATGCAAATAATTACCATTTTCTTCTACATACACATAGTCTACAGTACCCTGTACTTTCAATATTTGTTTATCTATATAAGTAATACTTTTTATTTCATTTTCTGCATATTCTAAGGCATATGATAATAATATGAGCTGTGTATATTTCTTTTGATCATTATCTGCAGCAATGGTACACATGGTTATAATAATTTTTGAGCTTTTTTCTACATGTTGCACATTCATGATAACTCCAGGTTCTACAGTATTTAACAGAAGAACTCTTATAACCTGTTTTGTATCTCCTATCAATATATCCAGTCTTTCGCCACCATCCGAAACTGCTATAATTTGATTAGAAGTAAATCCAATGGATGGGTTATATTTTACTTTTGATAAATTTGTCTTTGTAGTATGTAGTTCATATATTTGATCTAAAGAACCATCTTTATCCAAACACCAGACAACCCAATCTTCATCAATAAACCAACATGATAAATCATAAGCATTCTTAAATAAATGATTATGAAATGCAAATAATCTTGCTTCCAACCAGGATTCTTGATCATGATTTGGCTCTAATCTATATACATCTGAAATATTATTCATTCGTTAAACTGCCTATCTGTTAAAAGTTATGTATATAAAATGTATATAATCTACAGTATATAGTATAAAATGTAAATTTGACTTACGATTTTTTAATATAACTTCTGAAGTTATAGGAATAACATCAGTGGAAAACTGATACTTTTCAAAAGACGAATTTATTAAATCTTTGTTAGGACGTAACTCGATTACTTCTGCCATCGTCTCTGTTTTATTTGTGAATAATATAATGTAATATAATATAAAAATACTCAAGCGTAAGTATACATTTTTAACTAACGCTTTTGACAGGATAACCTAAAGACCAATGACGCCAAATATGAGACCACTGATGCGATATTGTAGACAGGGGTTCACATTGGACGTCTGCTACATCGTACACAATCTACGTCTACAATCAGAGTCACATCAGTGGGCATATACGCATTGATTCCATATTTGCGATTAATTGAAAACGTGATCTTAACAGATCAAGCTAGATTGTGCACGATCAAAGTACCCAAGGTAAGATATTTGACCGCTTGGAAATACCGAGTACTGTTTTGGTATTTTTTAGATCCGTCAAAACAGATTTCAACCGACACAAAATATCTATATCATTAGAAACAGTACCTATGTTTTTGCACTCTGTGAAAGAGCATAATATTAACATGTATTATATATATAATATAGTATATCTTGCATAGAAATTCTCATTTTTAGGCGGATTCAGGCTTTTAGGACAGAGAGAGAAGAGTTTTCTTCCTCTTAATAAAATTGATGAGATTTTATTTATCATAACATTTGACCAGTTTATTGCTAGTGCACACTTTTTGATTCTTGTGTAATATACAATATTGTCTATATATATATATAATCTATGTACTAATTATAAAGTATGATTATATTAAAATATAAAATTCAAACATTTTATTTTTATTTAAATAACATTATTTATAAAAACAATTTAATTAAATATTAGTTATAATATATTAGAAATTATCAAAAATTTTAATATATAAATATTTATAAAAAAAAATATATATATATATATATATAATAT